CATCCCAAAACCCTGTTTAGGGTCGAGTCGTCCCCACCTCTGCAGCCTAAGGGTGAACCAAGAGCAACTTGACTTTGTCAGACAGCACATCGCGAACACTCAGGCTGGTCCTTTCTTGCTGTTGGTGGCTCGGGAATAGGGCTTAGGGTTTAGGGTTGAGGGTTGTCAGCCAGTTTATCTTCCTCCAAGACAAGTAAGAGGAACAGCCCGCAACTTCGAGCTTTCGTTACTCCAGCTTCTGCTCTACAGGTCCTTTTTGTTGTTTCGGTCTCGGCTGCTGGGTTCTCAAAAGCCTAACCCTAAAAGCTCTTGGGTTTCCCCTACACCCGTCTAACCCTGCCGCGGATCGACCTCCCTGCCGCACCGAGGGTTAGCGGTTAGGGTTTAGGAATTGCAAGTCTTAGTAAGTTACAACCCCTAAAACCCTAAACCCCTAAACCCTAAACCCGGTTGAGCCACGATTGGCGGAGGCGGGCCCAGCTGTGCTACTTCTACATATGCCTTTGGCCTTGCCAGGCACCAGGGGTTGGGAGTTTGCCGGGCGTTGCAAGGATATGGGGTTTCGGCTTACGGTTGCGGTTTTGGGTTGAGGGTTTGTTCAGGGTTTGGGGTTTAGGGTTTAGTTTGACCCTTCTTACCCTGATGGACCTGCAGTTTTTTTTTTTCAGGACTCTTTCCTTAGCAGGATAGCTCAAAAGATACCCAAAAGCATAACAGCATAACAGCTGCAGTAACCGGTCTTTAGGGCAATTTGAGGAAGCAGACAAGGGTTCCGAGAGCTCCCAGAGTTTTTGCAGTGCCACTAAGGGGTTAGCTACCAAAAGTTCTACTTCGTATGGTGCTTCGGTACGCAGTCTCCAGAACAGTGCTCCTCCGGTCCAAGCCCTAAACCCGAAGTCCTCTGGTCTAAACCCTAAACCCTAGACCCTTAAACCCTAAACCCCAAACCCCAAACCCCAAACCCCAAACCCTAAACCCTAAACCCTAAACCCTAAACCCTAAACCCCAAACCCCAAACCCTAAACCCTAAACCCCAAACCCTAAACCCTAAACCCTAAACCCTAAACCCTAAACCCCAAACCCCGGGCGTCAGCTCCGCGAAGGCGTGACGCTCCCGCCGAAGGCAGGAGCCTGAAGCCCTGACAAGGGGTTTCGGGCTAGGGAAGTTTAGGGTTTAGGGTTTAGGGTTTAGGGTTTAGGGTTTAGGGTTTAGGGTTTAGGGTTTAGGGTTTAGGGTTAGGGTGTGGGGTTTAGTGTTAGGGTTTAGGGTTCCAGGATTTACAGCGCGATTCCAGGGTTTGGGGTTCAGGGCTTAGGGCTTTGGATTTAAGATTCCAGAGTTTAGGGCTTAGGAGGTTCAAACCCTAAACCCTAACACTAAACCCCACACCCTAACCCTAAACCCTAAACCCTAAACCCTAAACCCTAAACCCTAAACCCTAAACCCTAAACCCTAAACCCTAAACCCTAAACCCTAAACCCTAAACCCTAAACCCTAAACCCTAAACCCTAAACCCTAAACCCTAAACCCTAGCCAGGAGGTTTGCGGTCATTCCCTGTGGGGCGCCTCGAGCGATGACCTCGCAGAGGTGGAGGGGCGGCCGGCATGGCTTCCCTGCCGCGCATGGAAGGGTTTTTTAGGGTTTAGGGTTTAGGGTTTAGGGTTTAGGCCTATAAGGTTGAGGGTTTAGGGTCTTTTACGCTGAGTATATGGCTTTTTTCCTTAGCGGTTTGTAGGGTTTTCTGGCATGGGTTCTTTGGGCTTATATGCGGCTACTAGGCATTGCAGGTTGCTAGGCCTAAAAGGTCCCCTTAAAATTCTAAAAGTTTTGCCCATGTAATCCCTTCGAGGATCTTTAAGAAGGGGATCTCTAAAAAGGGTCCCCAAACCCAAGGGTACAACCTTGGGGTCAAGGTAGAGCCCCATGAGTATCGTTGTGGTTATGAGGGTTAAGGGTTTCGGGTCTTGCAGGCGGTTGTTTCGTGTGTCGGGCTCAAGGAAACCCTTAACCCTAACCCTAAACCGGTTTTAAAGAAAGCAAGTTACCTTAAGGGCTGAGGGGTTTCAGCGGTTTAGGGTTTTCGGTGTGCTCGGCATGTGTTAAGTTAGCTTAAGCTGTACTGCTAGATGCAAGGGATTTTGCTTCCCCTAAACTTTAAACCTTGGGATGTTCCCCCGAATTCTACTAACAGTCCTGAATTGGGCTTATAATAGGGGGTACTATTAAGGACTGCTAGTATAAGATGCAAACAGCAACGATCAACAACTCCTCGACCAGTTGATGCAGCACGTGGAGCTGGAGAAGCTCCCGCCGCTCTTGCAGGAGAAGGTCAGCGAGATCTCAAGACAGGACCACAAGGCCCAAGGAAAGAAGCTTCACCGGCTTGTGGCAGACAAGACTGCAGCGCAGCAAGGGCTGCAGAAAGTCCGAGCGGAGCGCACTCAGTACACGCAGGCTTGGGACAACTACGTGGAGAGTATGCTGACGACCTGGGATAAACAGTCCGCAGAGGGTTTAGGGTTTAGGGTTTAAAGTTTAGGGCTTAGGCAAGGAGATCCCTGGACATGATATTCCTGTGCCCCAGGGTTTAGCACTTAGGGCTTAGGGTTTGGGGCTTTCGCTCCGAAAACCTTGACAGCCTCAGCCTCAAAATTATGAAACAACAAGGACCCAGACTAGGCCCTTATTCCATTTTTTTTTTTTTTTTTTTTTTTGGGGGGGGGGGGGGGGGGGTAGGTTCCCTTCGAAGTCCGTATAGGGTTTAGGGTTTAGGGTTTAGGGTTTAGGGTTTGGGGCATAGGGTTTAGGGTTATTCCCTAGGTTAGTCTTGAGTCCGACGAATGAGCACCTGAACCCAAACACTTCACAACGCTGAAGCCCTCAAGCCTTGAGCCTCAGCAACCTCCACAAGCCCTTGCAGTCCCTAAACCCTCAACCCTCAACCCTAAACCCTAAACCCTAAACCCTGAACCCTGAACCCTGAACCCTAAACCCAACATCCCCTCCTTTCCGAACGTCTTCCCAAGGCCTGCCGAGGGGTGCCTTGGCACAGCGCAAGCCATGTGGGTAGGGTTCAGGGTTTCGGGTTTAGGGCTAGGGTTTAGGGTTTAGGGTTTAGGGTTTAGGGTTTAGGGTTTAGGGTTTAGGGTTTAGGGCCCAGGCGTTTCTAGCTTTTCGGTGAGTGCCTGCGCATGCATCTCGGGGCTCCTATACTACATAAGGGTTTAGGGTTTAGGGTTTAGGGTTTAGGGCTTAGGGTTTAGGGTTTAGGGTTTAGGGTTTAGGGTTTAGGGTTTAGGGTTTAGGGTTTAGGGTTTAGGGTTTAGGGTTTAGGGTTAGGGTGCCCTTGAAACATTTCACACTCCAGGAGCAATTCGTTCTTGGAGCGTTTTCCCTTCTTGTCTTTCTTCAGGTCTGATGCGTTAATACTGCCCAAGACCCTTAGAAATCAAGAAAGACCGCAGGAGGAGGCGCTAGTTAAACTGCACTGTCTTGGTGTTTTTTCACCGTTGTTTTTGGTATTTCTAGCATCTGACAGCTTTGAACCCCGATAGATAGGACCCATAATGTGACTGAACCCTAAACCCTAAACCCTAAACCCTAAACCCTAAACCCTAAACCCTCTCTCCTGAGACTCTCGAGCCGTTGCCCAAGGAACCTTCAGTCGACCCGCGACTTCATCCAGCTCCCTGGGCAGCAAGGGTGCAGGGTTTAGGGCCGTTTAGAGTTCGTTTAGGGTTTAGGGTTTAGGGTTTAGGGTTTAGGGTTTAGGGTTTAGGGTTTCGGGCCGTTTAGGATTTCGGGGGCTTTACGATTTTAGGGGTACCTTATTGAGGTCCTTCTTTTCAGGGGATCCTACTATTTTGGGGGTCTATATTAGAGGCCCCTTGTTTTCGCAAACCCTCATTTGGGGTTTAGGGTTTCAGGGTTTTTGTTTTCTCGCTGGTGTTTTCTCTGCACGTGTGGGCGAGAACCCTTTAACTGGAAATGGTCATCTGGATACTGGCTGCATGCCTTCCTCAGCTGCATCTCTAGTTTTGATCTGCCTCTATGATACGTACGTAGGCATGTATGTGGGTGTATGGTATTTGTTGTAAATATATAGTTCTACACATCGATAGCTGGCTAGATAGACATGTTTACGTAGATGTGGGGAGATGGTGATGTGTCTGCAAAATTTTAGCCTTAAAGCCTAAACTTACTGTGCTCTTTGTCAGAGTAGGTCAAAACTCGGTTTCATCCTACTGGGAGGTTCAGGGTACTTGTGGGGAAGTAGAACTGCTCCTAATTGCAACTCACGCTCCCTAGCTACCCTCATGCAGCTAGATTTGGGTCAGAAGTACAGGAACAGAAGTACCACGAACCTCCGAGTCGACTCTAAGCGGAAGTGGTGGGCTTACGGGGATCATGGGCCTTACTTTGGGGTTGAGGGTTTAGGGGTCATTGGCCTCCTTTAGTATAGGCCCCCCTCAAGTGTAGGTTTAGGGTTGAGGGTTCCGGGCACACTGCGCTACCAGGCATGTTGAGTGTTTTCTGACCCCTAGTTTGTTGGGTTGAGGGAATGGGGTTTAGGGTTACGGGGCTATGAAGTTTGATAGCCTCGTGCTTATTCGGACACATTGAAGCCTTATGCTGGAATACAGGCCATGACACCCCCTCTGCCTGACCCAGGTTTCCTTATGATATACCCTAAAGCCTTTTGCATCCCAGCCTAACGTAAAGGTTTTCTGCGCAGCCCTTCAGCCACCAGCGTTTAAGTCGTGCGGAGGCAACGCAAGGACCTCGCCACACCTGCCCAACAGCGCCCTGAGGATTAAATGGAGTCTGAAATCTGGGGTCATGCAACTCACCCAAGGTGCATTCAGGTAGGACCCCTTGGAGCTGGTGCTCTTCTTCAGAGGATAGTGAAGCAAGTTCTACATACAACCAGGCAGAGACTGCTGGGAAACTTCACTGGGAAAGGATTTCCCAGCAGCATCAGAGGCTTCGTTTTGCGCCATGGCCGCTGCCGATGCTGTCCGCGTTCGCATCGACTACGAGACCGCCAGCCCCAGTGGGGAGGAGATCGTCAAAGGGCACCTTTGTCGCAGGGGGGTAACCCTAAACCCTAAACCCTAAACCCTAAAAACCCTAAACCCTAAACCCTAAACCCTAAACCCCAACCATGAACTAGGCACCTGCTGCTGGATCTCCACCCCAGTTGGGCGCCCTTCTCCTGCGACCGCTTTCTGAAGATGGTGGATTCTGGGTTCCTGAAGGACTAAGGGTTCCCTTGTAAAGTAGGGTTTAGGGTTTAGGGTTTAGGGTTTAGGGTTTAGGGTTTAGGGTTTAGGGTTTAGGGTTTAGGGTTTAGGGTTTAGGGTTTAGGGTTTAGGGTGAAGGACCGGCAGTGTAGCCCAGTGGTACCCATTTTCCCTTCTTTGAAGGGTTTAAGGGTTCCCTTGTAAAGTAGGGTTTAGGGTTGAGGGTTGAGGGTTGAGGGTTGAGGGTTGAGGGTTGAGGGGTGAGGGGTTAGGGGTTAGGGGTTAGGGGTTGAGGTTTAGGGGTTTAGGGGTTGAGGAGTTGAGGGGTTGAGGTTTAGGGGTTTAGGGGTTGAGGGGTTGAGGGTTTAGGAGTACCTTTGTTCTAAGTTGCTGGGCTACCCACAGGAGCAGCGGTTCTGCCGCGCCATCTCAGGCTTCGTCTTGGACTGGAATTACGGGCCCTGTGCGGGGACTGCAGCTGCCGCTGATACCCACAGCCAGCTCTACAGTGGCTTGGCGGTTTAGGGTTTAGGGTTTAGGGCTTAGGGCTTAGGGCTTAGGGCTTAGGGCTTAGGGCTTGGGGTTTAGGGTTTGGGGCTTGGGGTTTAGGGCTTGGGGTTGGCAGAATTTTTGCCGCCCAAAAAGTAAGTGTCTAACGTTTTTTTCGCAGTGATTCCACTCAAGTCCTATGAAAAATGTACCCGAAACCCCTAAACCCTCAACCCGAAGAACATGAAAGCTGAGATGTTGGCACTCCTGAGGTGAGCTGCCCTGGGCCAAGCCACGTGAGCTAGATGCCACTGGCGCACTGCAGAAGAACCTTCCCGGCCGCATTTCTTTCGGCCAGGAGGACGATGGAAGCACCAAAACGGAAGTGTCTGGGAGTGCAACAGTCGTACGCGCGGCCTTTTCTTGTTCGACTTTTGCTCCCTTTGTTGTGTCATTTCTAGGTTACCTTCCCTAAGCCCTAAACCCTAAACCCTGAACCCTTAACCCTAAACCCTAAACCCTTAACCCTTAACCCTTAACCCTTAGCCCTTAACCCTTAACCCTTAACCCAAACCTTGTGGAGAACCAAGGTCTTCATCAACCTCGTAGACAACTCCGGGCGCTTGGACGCCCTGGGTTTTGTGCCTTTTGGCGAGGTGGTTGGTGCGACTGGCCCACGGCTGGAGCGTTGGGAGGGTGGGCAGCTCCCTGGAGAGAGTGCAAGTTCTGGGGTTTAGGGTTTAGGGTTTAGGGTTTAGGGTTTAGGGTTTAGGGTGTAGGGTTTAGGGTTTAGGGTTTAGGGTTTAGGGAGGGTTTTGCCCCTACCCCTTGTACTTAACCGCCCATGGTCGGTGAGTTTACGCGGTGTGGGTGGCACGGTCCTCCATGAAAAAGCTGTGTGGGTAACCCCAACCGGCCCCTCCCCCTAAACCCTAGACCCTAAACCCTAAACCCTAAACCCTAAACCCTAAACCCTAAACCCTAAACCCTAAACCCTAAACCCTAAACCCTAAACCCCCTAAACCCTAAACCCTAAACCCTAAACCCTAAACCCTAAACCCTAAACCCTAAACCCTAAACCCTAAACCCTAAACCCAAGCCCTAAAACCCCCTAAACCCCAAATCCCTAAACCCCAAACCCTAAACCCTAAACACCCCAAGTCCCTAAACCCCATGAAAACCCTAAACCCCAAACCCAAAACCCCAAGCCCTAAACCCTAAACACCCCAAGCCCCTCGTTGCCAGGTTGGGTGACTTCAACTTCAGCTTTGGCGACATCTTCTTCGAGGGAGGCGCATCGGAAGCGAAGGCAAAGGTGCCTCCTCTTGAGATCCAAGATGAAATCCTTAGAGGGTCTAGGGTTTAGGGTTTAGTTTAGGGTTTAGGGGTTGAGAGTTTAGGGGTTTGGGGTTTAGGGGTTGAGGGTTTGGGGGTTGAGGGTTTAGGGGTTGAGGGTTTGGGGTTTAGGGGTTGAGGGTTTGGGGTTTAGGGGTTTAGGGTTTTGGGGTGCAGGGTTTTAGGGGCTTTAGGGTTCGAGATTGAGGGTTGAGAGTTTGAGGGTATGGGGCTTGAGGGGTTTGAGGGGTTTCGGGTTCGGGGATCTCATGTAATCTCTATGAAGGCCCATGGACGTATATAGGGGTCAAAGTAAGCACTAATAGCATTCCCTTATGGTCCCTTTACTTTTGTACCACACAGAACCCAAAACCCTGTTCTAGTAAGTAAGGCTCCTACAGTATACAGGCCCTAAACCCGCAACCCGAAACCCTAAACCCTAAACCCTGAACCCTAAACCCCACGTTGGATGCACGCGGCCTTTCAGGTGAGAACGAACGTGCTCATCTCCGGTGGCAATGCCTACATCGACAAAACCTACCCCAATCTCACTCGCATCACCAGCTGCGAGAGGGTCGGTCCACCCTAGGGTTTAGGGTTTAGGGTTTGGGGTTTAGGGTTTAGGGTTTAGGGTTTAGGGTGTTTCGGGTTTAGGGTTTAGGGCTGCGAGAGAGTTGGGCAAAGCTGGAGTGGGAAGTTGAAAGCGGGCCTTGGCACAAAAGAGCCGTGAATCCTGAAAACCCTGAACCCTTTAAACCCGCAACCCCAAGCCCCGAAATCCTAAAACCTAAATCGGAAAAACCTTAAAACCCTAAAACCCTAAAGCCCTAAACCCTAAACCGCCTAAACCCCAAAAACCCTTCAACTCGTGACTCGCCCTCCAGGACGACAGGCGTGCATGTGGAGTCGGTATAGTAGCTAGGACTCAGAGCAGGCCCCCATTAGGATATAAGCCTCTGTGAATGACGAAGAAGGGTACCCTTGTTATACTCACCCTAAACCCTAACCCTAAACCCTAAACCCTAAACCCTAAACCCTAAACCCTAAACCCTTTTTCTTCCTAGATGACTCTTGGGTCTGAGGCTGGTCCAAAGTACCCTCTCTCGGCCTTGAGGTTTGGGAGGGTTTAGGGTTTAGGGTTTAGTGTTTGGGATTTGGAATTGGGGTTTAGGGTTTTAGGGTTTTAGGGTTTAGGGTTTAGGGTTCTAGCGTTTCTGGGTTTCAGGGTTTTAGGGTTTCAGGGTTTCAGAGTTTTAGGGTTTCAGAGTTTTAGGGTTTCAGGGTTTTAGGGTTCCAGGGTTTCAGTGTTTAGGGTTCTAGAGTTTTAGCATTTTAGGGTTTTGGGGTTAGGGTTTAGGGGTTCGGGGGTTAAGGGTCTAGGGTCTCAAGGTTTAGGGGGCCCTTCTCGGCATTGGGCTGGTGGTTCAGGATTTAGGGGTTTAGGGTTTGGGGTTTAGGGTTTTATGGTTTTAGGGGTTTAGGGTTTTAGGGTTTCGGGTTTTCCCACCTAGATTCCCTGAAGCTCGAACGTCCCTAAGTCCCGTCAATGGTTGCCTGCAGGCTGTCCCCGGCTACAAAGGGTTTGGGGCTTGGGGCTCCGGAGCTTTGGCTACCACGTAGAAGCCAACGGCCCAGAGAAGCCAAATCTATGCTTCAGTCAGAAATTCGCACTTTCTCTATCTGTATCCCTACTTAGTTGCACATGAACATTTCCAAACCTTAAACCCCAATCCGCAAACCCTAAACCCCAAAACCCGAAAAACTAAACCCCAAACCCTAAACGCCCCAACCCTATAAACCCAAAACCCCTAAACCCAAAACCCTAAACCCCAAACCCTAAACCCTAAACCCTAACCCTAAACCCTAAACCCCAAACCCTAAACCCTAAACCCTAAACCCTGATTCTGGGCCTCCCTGGTCAACTCGAAGGTTCAGGGGTTCCCCTACTGCCCGCCTCAAGGCTACCCCCCAGTTTAGGGTTTAGGGTTTAGGGTTTAGGGTTTAGGGTTTAGGTTTTGATTATCGGGCTATTTAGGGGTAATTAAGGCTAGTCAAGGTTGTTCACGGGGGGAACCTAGCCCTAACCCTAACCCTAAACCCCAAACCCTAAACCCCAAGCCTCAAACCCTAAACCCCAAACCCTAAACCCAAAACCCAAAACCCAAAACCCTGAACCCGAAAGAACAAGGTTCGTGCAAGATCAGACCGCGCCCAAGGGGCGAATCGTGGCGCTGCTGACAGGCATAAGCCCCCTTGCGGGCCTTTGGTGTTCAGGGTGTGGGGGTTTAGGGTTAGGGGTGTCGTAGCGTTCTTCGCGCGCTATACACCCACCCCAAGCCACCCGGCGTAGAGTGTTTCCGAACCCAGGCGTGCCGGGTTTCCGAATTTTTGGGCTTACGGCTTAAGGATGGCGGCTTTGACGAACAAATGCGCGCTGCTGATCTTGTTCAAAGCTTCAGGCTCAACCCCTTCGGGCCTTTAAGCCTTAAAACCCTAAACCTGAGACCTAGACCCTAAACCTTGGTCCCCAAATCCCTAAACCTGTTAGTCACCCCCGCCCCTCCCAAAAAAAAAGTCCCAGGGGTGACATATAGGCTAGTTAGAATGTATGGACCATGTAAGGCAGATATATGTGTTGCGTGGGGGAGTCGGGCCACCTCAAGACCTAGTTGTGAACTTTCGGGTGTTTGCCTGTCAGGACTTCACCACTCAAACAATGGTATAGCAATTCAGCAAGCGCTGCTTTGTTGCTTCTCTCCAACCGCCAGCCGCTGCTTCATGGCCAGGGTTGTGCAAGTGGCACTACAAGGTGACAGAAACAGGATTCGGAGGCGACTCTTGCACATAGCAGGTCCAATCAGTGCAGCTTATGCCCTGGAGGGATTGACCATGGCGCTGCCAATCTGGGCAGCTGCGCATGGGGGCAAGCCACTTGCGCAGGAGGCGACCAGGAGAGTTGGTGCCGTTGGGCTCGGCGATTCGGTGTTAGGGTCCTTGTGCGACGCCTTCGCGCTCGGCTGGGCAGATGCTCAAGACACCCTGGTTTCGCACGCCCACGGTGCCGATGATGCCGACAAAGCCCGGGACCACTTGAATTGCTGCCAGGTTTGGATGTTGCTGTTGGCTGCTCTGAGCTCTGTGATTCTCTTACAGACAGAGGCCATTCTTCTCTGGACCGGTTGCGCGAATGAGCAGATCGCTGCTAATGCTTCTCGGTACGTTCTTGCAAGCATTCCTGGCATTTGGTTTCTGTTCCAATACTACTCGTTGAAGAAGTTCCTGGTGAATCAGCAGATCTCATCACCACTTTTTTGGGTTCTTAGTGCTGCGATACCATGCCATTTGGGCGTGTGCCTTTTGCTTCTCGAGTGGTCTTCGTTGGATCCCCTGGTCTCCATGGGCATCGCCTTCTCCGTGAAGTCGGGGGTGTCCTTCTTGTTGTTGGCAGGTTACATGAGCTGGTTTCATCCGACGCCCAGCTGTGTGGGCTGGTGGAGAATTTGGCAGTCATCAGCGTTGACCTGGAAAGGGCTCTCGACATATGCTGCAATCGGTGTGCCGAGCGTGGCCATGAATGGTTTGGACGCTTGGGCTTTTCAGTTCTTGACTCTCATGGCTGGGCGGTTACAGAGTCCCACCGAGCTGGCCGCGCATGTAGCCGTTTCGATTGTCTACTGCTGGACATACCTGATGTTCCGGGGCACCTCGGAAGCAGCCACGGCTTTAGCTGGAGCTGCTGTTGGCCAGCAGAACTTGGGCGAGGTGTCCAGCATCTTGCAAGTAAGCACCAAGGTGACGATCACCATCTGCGGAATGATTGTGGTGTGTTGCTGGCTTGGGCGTGGTCGTCTTGCCTTCGGGCTGCTGGGCGATGAGCTCGTGACTCATGCGGCTTTCATGGGTGCATTTCCCTGCTTGCTCGTACAGATCTGGGCTGATGGTCTGAACAGCCTGTACGGCTGCGTCTTGGCCGCATTCGGACAACAAGGATCCGTATCGGTAGGCATCCTCATCTTTCAATGGATAGTGAAGCTGCCTTTTGCCTGGCTACTGGTGTTTCACTCTCACCTTGGGACTCTCGGCCTATGGATTGCATCTTCCACTGCGTCTGTGATGAACATGATCTACAATGGTACGCTCACGAGGCACTGCTTGAAGTCGCTAGGCACGAAGTGGCAGTGCAGCAAGTTGGTCAACACTGAGATCGATGAGACGTATGGGTCAGCGGCAGTTATCGGGTCCCCGGTTGCAGGGGCCAGCGTTGACATTGATCTTAAGGCCAGCTTTGAGGGGGACGTCTTCCTCAGACATCGGGCGCAGTGACAGGGGCATAGATGGGTAGCTCAGGAACTGGCGCAAACCAGCCTGTGTCACTGTGCACAGACATTGTTTTGAACACTTTTTCCAAAGGGGAGTCAAGGCGTGCTTCAGGCCCCTTTATGCTGAGTCCCCTTTTGACAGGTGGACGGAAAGCGTTCCCCAAGTTTCGCTCACTCCGACATAGTGTCCCTGCCGGGTGAAGTTTTGGCTCGCTGCCCGTCAGACGTATGGATTGTAACCCTAAACCCTAAACCCTAAACCCTAAACCCTAAACCCTAAACCCTAAACCCTAAACCCTAAACCCTAAACCCTAAACCCTGCTCGAATGGTCAATGCTCGGTTGACATCGGTTTCACATGCATCCCGTGAGGAGCACAGATGTAGCTGCTCGCCTGGGCTCCAGGTGCAAACAAGTTTTGCAGAAGTGCACCTCAAACCCTAAACCCTAAACCCTAAACTCTAAACCCTAAACCCCAAACCCTAAACCCTAAACCCTAAACCTAGAAAGTGTTCACTGGGCCTTGAAGGGGTTCCAAAATGACAGCTTTAGGGCTACCAAGTATACTTGGTAGCCCAGGGTTCTCATTTTTAGGGGTTTAGGGTTTAGGGTTTAGGGTTTAGG